CGGATACAAAATATAGACTGCAGACTGCAGAGTGGGTACAAAATGCAGACTAAGAATCTGAAGAGTTTTTACGTCTGGTATATAATAACATGTCATCTTACAGCTAACCAAGCGTCACGCAATCGCTTTTCTGCGATCAGCCTTCACGATTATTTGCACTATTGTGGAATATTCCTGGCCCATTTCTTGATGAAAATCAATCGCAAAATTATTTCAAGCCTTCAATATAGTCTTCTTATTTTGCGCGCGAGTTGGTTGGTGTGATGTCTGTACAGATTTTACCAACGTAATAAAAGTAGATGACGTGAATAACAGTGATGGTAAAGCAAGCTTAAAACGGCAGAAATCGCCAGAAAATACAATGGATACACAGGGTATGAGTAATTTTTATTGATTTTACAAGAAAAATGTTCATATTTCGAAATATGTATCGTTGTAAATCGACCATACTTCGTTCCCTGTACTATTTCTTATAACGTGCAGTTCCTTTCGTAACTTAACACCGAGTCACACAGCGCGTGACGCGTTCATGAATTAATCGTTGACTTTTTCTCGAGACGTGAGCTTGGGCCGCCAGTGACAAGACAATTGCGTAACAATATTTAACATAATAACATTATACACAAAAAACACAGGGTTTTGGATCACGTATCTATTAAAAAGAATATCCATACAACTACAATGAAAACAAACATAAGATTCACCTTTCTGATCGTGAAATTAATACCATTCGTACTGTTATCGTAGCTACGTTCCTTGCCATCAAGTGAATCCAACATGTCGTCTTTCTTCAAAAGCAGTTTGCATCCCATATAGTTATGTTCTTCAGTCTCACGGTAGTAGCGTTGTTCAATAGATTGCATAGAGTATACGCAGTTTGGTTTCAAATTTCAGATTTTGCTTTTTACAAGTGAACGTTTTTCAACTAAGACATTGGCATACTTAGCATACAAGGCATTCAAGGCTTTCATGGCTTTCAAGCGTTCGCGACTCAATCCGTTCCAAAATTACCGCTCAATAACAACTTTCAGTGTGGATTAGCCGCGATTAATACGACTTGTATATGCGTCTGTAAGTATTTTTATCTCCAGGAGATCGCAATCCAAATACGTTGAAATACAAAACAACTGACCAAAGAATTTTATAAGCAAAATCTCGTGTTCGTCATGTGTCCCGGCCCAGTCTGTGCATGACAACGTCAATCATCATCAAGATAACACGCGTGATCAGCATGTGAACACCTCATTGGATCACAGTTAGTTGTCATGGTGTTGAGGGATAACACGCGTGATCAGTATGTGAACACCTCATTGGATCACAGTTAGTTGTCATGGTGTTGAGGGCCCAATGACCTCTGGGTACTATTGCGCAATTTTTCCATTTTGTGGCGGAGGAAAAAATAAAAAAACTAGACCCTGTGAGCAGGGTAACTGGGATACCTTGATGGTACTGGATCCTTGGAATTAAGTGTAGTGATACTACGGGTGTCGGACTAGTATACTGAAATAGTGCGCTCAAGTCTGGCCAAGGGCATACACCTATTTCAAAACATAGGCATGCTATGCATGCAAGAGTTACTTTTTTGTAGGGTGGGTGGATTACTTGAAACATTGTGAGTGATGTCTACATTCTTACAAAAGGAGAGAAGAGTATTAAAATGGGAAAGAACGAAAATGTCGAATTACCTCACTCACAGGTATTTTGTGGTAGATTATGTGTGTTTTGCGAATAAATGTAACCAAAAATAAACTGTATTGGTGCCACGGATACCTGTTAGTACAAAATGTAGACAGCAGACTGCAGACCGGATACAAAATATAGACTGCAGAGTGGGTACAAAATGCAGACTGAGAATCTGAAGAGTTTTTACGTCTGGTATATAATAACAGGTCATCTTACAGCTTACCGAGCGTCACGCAATCGCTTTTCCGCGATCAGCCTTCACGATTATTTGCACTATTGTGGAAAATTCGTGGCTCATTTCTTGATGAAAATCGATCGTTATATAATTTCGAGCCTTCAACATAGTCTTCTTACTTTGCGCGCGAGTTGGTTGGTGTGATGTCTGTACAGATTTTACCAATGTAATAAAAGTAGATGACGTGAATAATAGTGATGGTAAAGCAAGCGTAAAACGGCAACAATCGCTAGAAACTACAACGGATACACAGGGTATGAGTAAGTTTTATTGATTTTTCGAGAAAAATCTTCATATTTCGAAATATTTATCGTTGTAAATCGACCATATTTCGTTCCCTATACTATTCCTTATAACGTGTTCAAATTTTCAACGGTTCCTAGAATAACTTACTCTGAGTCACACAACGCGTGACGCGTTCGTAAATTAATCGTTGGCTCTTTCTCGAAACGTGACCTTGGGTCGCCTGTGACAAGACAATTGCGTAAACAATACTTGACATAATAACATTATACACAAAAAACACGGGATTTTGGACCATGTATTTATTAAAAAAGAATATCCATACAACTACAATGAAAACAAACATAAGATTCACCTTTCTGATCGTGAAATTAATACCATTCGCACTGTTATCGTAGCTACGTTCCCTGGCATCAAGTGAATTCAACATGGCGTCTTTCTTCACTAGCAGTTTGCATCCATTTGAATTTTGTTCTTCAGTCTCACGGTAGTAGTGTTGTTCAATAGATTGCATAGAGTATATGCAGTTTGGTTTCAGATTTCAGATTTTGCTTTTTACAACGAGTTTACGTTTTCAACTAAGACATTGGCATACTTGGCATACAAGACATACAAGGCATTCAATGCTTTCATGGCTTTCAAGCGTTCGCGATTCTGTCCGATCCAAAATTACCGCTCAATAACATCTTTTTGTGTGGATTGGCCGCGAACAATACGATTTGTGTATGCGTCTATAAGTATTTTGAGCGTTTGCCCCATAATGCTCCAGATGATCGTAATCCAATTACGTTGAAATACAAAACGACTGACAAAATAGTTTTATAGGCAAAAATCTCGTGTTCGTCATGTGACCCGGCCCTGTCCGTGCATGACAACGTCAATCATCATCAAGATAGCACGCGTGATCAGCATGTGAACACCTCATTGGATCACAATTAGTTGTCATGGTGCTGAGGGCCCAATGACCTCTGGGTACTATTGCGCAATTTTTCCATTTTGTGGCGGAGGAAAAAAACAAAAAAAAAAAAAAAAAACAAAAGACGACAAAAAAACAAAGGCATTTTATGACTGGGCTACCACAGGTATCCCAGAAAAAAGACGACAAAAAAACAGAGGCGTTTTATGACTGGGCTACCACAGGTATCCCAGTAAAAAAAAAAAAGACGACAAAAAAACAAAGGCATTTTATGACTGGGCTACCACAGGTATCCCAGTAAAAAAGACGACAAAAAAAAAGGGCATTTTATGAATTGGCTACCACAGGTATCCCAGTAAAAAGTAATAGGGAAACTAACCTTTAATCTTTTACGGTGAAGAAGGAATAGAACGTAGCCAACCACGGCAGGAAAATCAAGTTTAGTTCGGTCGACATATATTCTGGGCCTCGCGTGACAACAAACAGTTTAATTTATTTCTGTCGCGTTCCAATTGTCATGCCCAGGACCTACGCACTTCAACGACGTTCATTGAGGAAGAAAAGAACTATAAGTGTAATTAAAGTAAGTTTTCATCACTCGCTCGTGTTTCCCAGAGGTAACTGGACGAAGGGCTAACGCTCGAAACGTCGGCTTTTTTACCCTTTACGGTGGCTAATTTACGTTTTCAACCCAGTTGTTAACACTAAATTACCTGCTATACTCTCCCACCGACGCAGCACCACAGTTTCTTTAGAAACTTACCCCTTTATTCATTTCCCAGAGGTAACTTGGAAGGAAACGCCAGCCTTATTTCGGCCCTCTCTGTCTCTCTTGTTTAAGTCTAACAATCGGTGCTTGTTAAAAAATGTGAAATTGCGTCGTTTCAAAGTGCTAAATCTTAAAAGCACCACTGGAATAGTGGAGCTTTTAGGCCTAAGTAAATAGATTTTCTCTTTGGTACTTTGAAATTATTCTAACTAACAGAACGCAAGAGATTACAAACTCTTGCAGATCGTTAAAGTGCCCCTTACCCCATTGTTTTATTCCTTTCAATTTCAAAACGATTACTTAGTTGGGTGAAAGTAACCATCTACGATTCTACGGCTGTGTAAAAAAGGAGATCTGGGATCTAGTGTCCTCTGACATCAGTGGGGGAAGCTCTGGGAAAGAAGGTGGTTGAAAATGTTGTGAATTAAAATGGGTGCAGAAAATATGGGGAAAATATGGGGAAAAAGAAAGTGGACCGTAGTTTTCGCTTTTTTAACAAGATTACCCTTCGTTTATGATTTTGCTCTAAAACTCTTCAATCTAAAACATTGGAAAACTGAGAAGAGTGACTTTGATTGCTAATCGCAAAGCATGTGATGCTGTCATTCAGTGAAACTGCGTAAGAAAATTTTGAAATAAATAACTACACTTTACAGAAAATAAACAACAAATAAGTTTATTTAGGAGGACCTAGAAAGAACAGAAAGACTCAAACTTTCCGTAATCTCCACTATCTTTTTTCCAGACTGCCATTTAGGCTGAGAGGTCTGCTACTTTTTTCGCACAATCTACCATATACGAACGTTTGCGAATCGATCATAACACTTAGGTTAGAAAACTTACAAATGAAACAAACTTTACATGGAACTGTCAGTAAGGCTAGGAAGTCTCCAATATACGCAAGTTTACAAATCAATCCTGCCAGTTAGGCTGGTCAACTTACCAATCGAACAAGCCTTGACACTGCCAGTTAGGCTAAGTAAATGATGGTTCAGCTGGGGACATTGTGTGTGGTATAAAAGCGAAAGTAAAACACTATAGGCTAATTAAAGCGGAGAAGCCGTTAAAGATGGAGCGTTTTTAGGATTAACTGAAGATCTTAGAGTTGTTCCATTGTGTTCCATTGCGTTTCATTTTGTACTGGAGCAAACAGGTTATCGTAAAATATGAACGTTATCCCCGACAAGATCAGCAACGAGCAGATCGCCATTATTACAGCCAGACACGATCCAAGGAACTTTGATCGTGTTCTCGCCAAATGAAGTGAGAAATGTTCCATCCAAGGTAAACATTTTCAGGACGCCGTCGCGGAGATTTTCATCAATACCACTAGCGTCACACACGATTAGGTTACCAAAGGAATCTACACAAAGTCCCTCGGGATATCTCAACTGTCCTTCACCACAACCCTTGCGGCCAATATTGCTTATGAACACTCCTTTCTTATCAAAGACCTTCACACAATGTGCTCTCATATAGGAAACATAGAACATGCCTCGATAATAACATGGAAAGCTTGGGGAAATTTCGCTATCCGGCGCAGAGAAGGCCAGCAGCAATTCTTTCCCGTCTGGGGAGATGACTTTCACCTTTTTGTCACCTTTATCGCAAACGATCACGTGGCCATCGTCAGTTTTGACAAAAACATGATGTGCTTGAATCAGATGTTCAGAAAAATGTTCGACGAAGAGGCCACGATCAGTTAGAACTGAAAGCTTCTTATTATGTGATTTGAACTGCTCATGAGTAACCATGATGTCATTGCTCTTTGAGAATGCCACTGAGACAGGAAAACCTATGTTGGCTTGCGAATCTGCCTCGCCTCCTATCGTCTTCACACGTTTCATGTCCTTATCATAGACCAGGACTCGTTTGTTAACATAATCTGCAACTGCAATGTCTCCAGTTATTTCATTCTTTGCGATACAGTATGGTCCGTTTAATTCTCCTGACCCATACGACCTCACTACTTTGTACTGATGGGGCTTCACCTCAACTTTCCAAGGACTACCGGTCAGCGGCCATCCATTTACCTTGATTTCAAAGTCGTGCCGACCAACGCTCTTCGGTTTGTAACATACTCGATAATTACTATCTTTACAATCTATGACTTGTACCTCCTCATCACCAGTTTTAGGGCTAACAGTGACGGTCACTTGTTCTTGCGTGTTATAGCACTTCTGTCCTCCTGAATCTCGCGTTATTATTGTGAAGTTAGCTTCAGCGCCCTGTTCCACTTCTATCAAACAGTTCCCTCTAGCCAACGATTGCGAATGATCAGTGTTACTTATAACAACTCTACCCAGCTGATCATGAGCTGTATGACCGCATTTTAGACAAAAACAGGCGTCACGCTTATGGCAATAGAAGCCACTTGGTCCGTTCTCGTGAACGCTCTCTTTGCAAGTGGTAACTCCACACCAGCAGATCTGTTTACCCCGCTGGTATTGCTGACCTTGAAACAATAAGTTAAGAAATTGCGTAAGAATTGACAGAGGTAGGTTGGAGTGGAAAACGAGTATTTGCTTCTGAGGATATGATGTACTTAAATGGCTACTTATACTGGAGAGACTGCCTGGCCTGTCACTTCCTGTTTTTGTCGTTGAACTGTTTTACCCTTAATGGTTTGAAACCGGAAGTACACGCATTAGTCAAATATAAAAATCGCCAGGCTTAAAACCAACTATCTTTATCTACATCACCATCATCGAACAGATCTTACCTAGATCAGTTGCTTCTTTTGAAGCTGTCAGGAGATCAAGTCTCATCTTTATTTCGTTCAGCTGATCTTTAATGTTGTCCTCGTCCTTTTTCCACTCACCCAGTAGTTCCATGTAGTGATCTTCAACTTCAGGGTCCATGCACTCGTTTCTAAGATCGTCAATAGCAGCTACATAAGTGACGCCTCCCAGTCTGACCAGAGTGTCCTGGATGTCACGCCAGTATTCATTGAATTTGACATCATCAACAGAAGCTTTCTCAGCGTGACCGTACACGGTGTTCCTAAAATACTTAACTCGGGCAATGTCCGCTTCCCTGCTGAGGTCTGTTACGGCAGGCAATGCGTCCCAACCGGTCAGCGGAGCAGTTAAGCCGCACAGGTTCCGTAACAGAACCATCAGCAAAGTTGTGTCAAAGTCACGTGAAGACACTGAGTTGGGGATGGCAGGGAAAAGCTTCCCCCACTGTATTTGATTGATAATCTTCTTCTTTCTAAGAGATTGTAAGGTGGGTCTGTTTGCCGCCAAAACTGAGGGTAGATTTGCTGGAGAATGGATGGTATCTAACGTGTCTCGAAGAGCCTGGGTTCCAATATCAACCAGCAGACGGCACAACCTGGCATAGTTTGTTGTTTCCTTTGTGGATAAAGCAGTCGGTGTAGCATTGGTCATGAGCGAGTCCTGTCTTGAAAACAATATTCATAACTCTTATAGGAAAGTCGTTTCTTTCCACAGCACAGTTCCAGTAAAATATAACTCTACAATGTAGACGGAAATTAAAGGCAAATGTTTTCCCCTACATGGCTTACGATTTGGCTTTATCTGCTTACCCCAATAAATTTTGAAGATCTACTGATGACCCATGTGCCTAAGGGCATAAGCTTCTGAAAGATCCCCCATTATTGACTGTTTTTATTAGTTCACTTAATCTCAGCTATCAGCTCTGATTCCGTTTTACTCTTATTTTCCGTTTCTTTGAAAAAAAACTAAAAATGTATTGCGCTGGGTGTCAAAAAGCTCACTTATTTTTTTCCGTGAATAATGTACCCCGTACCACGTTAACAGACTTTAAAGTACACGTGTACTGTATTTCCTGTAAATATTCAGATCCTGCTTGGTAAACAATTACAATTACTTTATTTTGCCTAAGAGTTTCGTTCGGTTTCGGTCGAAAAGGCGACTCACATGTCTTGTGATTACCTCACCGTTTTGGCGATTCGAACCAGCATCGTAACCTGTTACCACAGTCTGTTTAGCCTGAAAGCTGGCTCCTGTGATGGGGTTCTGCCTTGCGGCCCCTTTTCTGGGCACAGTCGCTTAGGAAAAAAGATGTTAAAGGGGCCTTCTCTAATTGTTTCAAAAATTATTATCAGTTGGCGCCCCATACTGAACTGGAATTAGAAAATTACTCGCCTGAGTCGTCATTCACAATTGTGGGGAATATACATAACGGCGTAATATGTGACTTACACGGTTCATATACTGTAATATTTTTCGCCACTATCTGCGTCGGTACATTAATCACAATAAAATAATATATAATTAAATTATATAACTGGCGTAAAATTTACATCAAATACATCACCGACTGGAAGAAATTACGCTGTTAGTTATTGGCGTAAAATCTTACACATATACATTGCCGACTGGAAGAAATTACGCCGTTAGTTACTGGCGTAAAATCTTACTGTATATACATTACCGAGCTAGTAGAAGAAATTAGCCCGTTAGATACTGGCGTAAAATCTTGCAGTATATATAGTACAGAGCGGATGAAATTATGCCGTTAGTTACTGGCGTAAAATATTACATATAAACGGCGTAATTTCTTTCAGTCGGTATTGTATATACTGTAAGATATTACGTTAGTAACTAACGGCATAATATTATTTCCAGTCGGTAGTGTATATATGTAGGATTTTACGCCAGTTACCAACGGCGTAAATTTTTCCAGTCGGTATATATACATACTGAGAGGTTTTACAGCGTTAGTTAACGGCTTAAAATCTTCTAGTATGTACACCGACGCAGACAGAGGCGTAAAATCGTACAGTCTGTAGACTGTTAGTCACATATTACGCCTTTATCGAATTACCGCTCTGGGTGACAATTTTAAGAGTGACCATTTGGGTCGCTAGCTGTCCATTCGAGGAAAACTTTGCCTGCAATTTATATTAAAAGAGAATGTTCTTTTGAAAGATATCAAACGATAGGAAACAAACCTTTGGTCTCACACGGAGGAGAAGAAATAGAATGTAGCCAAACACTGCTCGCTACCAAGAGTCGATCTGCACAAATTTCTTTATGAATGCGTGACAAAAGAATCATTTCTTTGTCACGTGTTATTTCTCATGCCCAGGGCCTACGCACTTCAAGGAAGTTTCAATCTTGACCGATGGGAGACAGTCTGTAAGGATCGAAATTTTTTTCTTTGTCAGATTGGAAATTCCCCAAAGGTGGCATTCCTCAAGGAACAAAACTTGGTGTTATCCTGTTGACGGCCTGATGACTAACAACCTACTGAAGGATTGAAATTGAAGCTTAAATTTGTTGATGACACCACAGCTCTCGAAATCTTGGCTTGGAGTGGTTGCAGTCTACTCAATCCAGTTTCTAATGACATTTACATTTTTCAAATGACCACAACGTGGGTTTAAACATAAAAAATCCAAAGAAATGTGAGTTAATTTAATGCATAATCCCAACGTTGTAGAGGTACCTATAATTCATAGTTATAACCTTGTGGATCTTGCCCTCTTCCTTAAACTCCTCGGAGTGTATATCAGTAGTGATCTAAGGTGGCACTATCACATCGATTACATTTTTACGAAGGCCTCAAAGTGCCTATTCTCATTGCGAGTATCAACCCTTTGACCCCTAAGAATGATTTGCATCTAATTTCTCCTTACCATATCCCCCTGAATCAAACATTAAGGTCAGGAGAATAAAGGAGCTGATCACCAACTAAAGAAGCTCTTGATTGTTCGACTAATTTTCCGTCTCAGCATTTTAGGAAATGTTTAGAGAATAAAAAGGAGATTATGTATATTGATGTTTGGATGAAAAGGGTAAAGGAAGGCAGGTGTACCTTGTAAATTAATCCTTAAAGTGTACCTAACACGAACGAACATAGCTGTATGACTTACCTTAAGGCTTATAAAAGAGAAAATTATTTCTATTAACTCGAAGTTCAATTTAAGTCACAGCATCCAAAGTGGTAAATATTGACGAGAAATTGTCCTGCATGGAATAAAATCACTATACAATTGTTTCTTCATTCTTTATTAGCCGGTGAGCTATTTTATCCTGGAAAAAATATCTTTATCGTTTTAGAAATTATCGTTTTTATTTATCGTATTAAAGCTGTTATCATATCAGCTTTGAACATATTATTTACTGGAAAGAAATAGAAACTGAAAGTCCACTTTCCACCGTTTCCGGGAAATTTCCCTAAATCTGAAACAATGGACAATTGAGAAGCGTGACGTAACTTTGAATGCTAATCAAGCACAAAGGGAACTATGTTGTCAACAAGCGAAACTGGAAGTGAAAGTATCTCACCATACCTCAACAAAATGCCGCCAGAACTGAAAAATGAAATCCCAAAGGAAAGCGATATTAAAAATAACTTTAAGAGGTTCGAGGATGTCCAGCTTCCGATAGATATCCTGCTCCTAACTGTGAAAGACATCGAGTTTCGAAGCTGTTACTTCAATCTAACAAATGCCTTTCAAAGCTACGGGAATGGCCTCGGTTTTGTGTATTTCGGAGAGATGGGTGAAGTCGGAGATACGAAACTGAAAGTCGCTTTATTCAAATGTTCAGAGGGAGCGACACACTCGGGAGGAGCGCTACTCGCAGTACAGAATACTGTGAAGAAATTACGACCCAAAGCTGTGTTTTGTGTCGGTTGTTGTGGAGCATTGCACCGGGACAAGACCAAGCTAGGAGATGTTATCGTTTCCGCAAAGCTGACTACTTACGCAGAAAAAAAAGTGACGAATCAGGGAGTTCATTCGCTTGGCTTCAGTGTACCAGTTAGTCCCTACATCTCTGGCTTAATACAATGCGCTGGTTATGGCTGGAAGGCTCCTTTAAAGAACGAAGAAGAAGGAGGATTAGTTAAAGTTCATAGTGATGGAGATTTTTTGAGCGGACCAGAAGAGATTGACTCCGAAGAAAGAAGGCTCGAACTTGTAAAGTTCTACCCCAACGCAATTGCAGTCGAAATGGATGGCCAAGGTGAGATTGATAGGTTGTTTTTCGTCAGCAGAGCGCTAAGAAGTAAGCGTTAATACAGAGTTTGATCATCCAGGGTTGCTTAGTTTGACGAAACAGTTCAACACTTAAGCTCTGTTTGCCTGCTGAGAGCTTATTTTCACGTGTTTAAGATAGTGCTCGCTGACCACGATAGTCTCAGTGATCAACAGCTGCAAGTCAATCGATCATCGATCACGCTAACATGTTTACTTTCACTTTCCTCGCTTCATCGACTATTTCAGCGAATTCCTTCGTATTGCGGCCTCTGTTACTTGGTTATCACTGAGAAGGAATAATTTTGTTCAGTTTGATATCCAAGTTTGTTCGGAATCAGTTCCAGTGTGTATACTCCGTGCTTTACCCGAAACGTTCAATAATGATAATGTTGTTTTCCATATCGTCACGACTTTTCTTAAAATAACAGTGTGTTACGATTCAGTAAGTTCAATCGACCGAAAACGTAATAGAATCAGGATAATTATGCTTAATCACGTTAAAAAGAGGAATGAAGAGGTTAGACTATACAAGCACGATACGGAAGCCTGATCAATCTGGTACTAATTTTTCTAGTGTCGCATGGATTACACGCACATGTAGCGTAACCAAAGTCACAATCTGTCAAAGTGCTGTCCTCTTAAAACTACGGCCCGTGACATCTCAAGCATTCAGTGAAGCTGAGAGAATTATTTTTCACATCCGGTAATTACACAACGGTTATCATAAACTTCAATGTGTCCTTCCACAGGTGTGTTCAGTGCAGCTCATGTCCTGAAGACGGAGTGGGTGGTAATCAAAGGCGTTTCTAGTTATGTAGACGGCACGGCCTCTCTGACTGAGGACTGGAAGCCTTTTGCCAGTGCCATGGCAGCTTCTGTTGTCAAAAACATGCTTCGTACACCAGCTGTGTTTGAGGGATGGCCGCATTACCAGAGCAGCGATATGGGAAGAGCACCGAATGAAGGTTAAGGGAATATAAATGTGAACTCTATGGTTTAAGCCTACTTTACTTTTTCACAAAACCAACGTTTAGCTTAACCGTTTTGCTGGACTGAAAATGGTTTCCACTCCGGTTTCCTCCACAACGACTTAATTAACCAGCCCTTTTATTTGGATTGAAAAATACCACTTAAAAAACATTTAATGAATTAGTTATTGAAATGTCTGTTGTTTCTTGCAAAAGTATATAGGTTACCGTATAGGACAATATTATATAGCAACAAATATCTACGGTAAATGAAATATGAAGCTATGATGAATATATGTATGGCATTGTTTCATATATTTGGGGCTAATTACATATATATTCATCCAATTACAAATATATTTAGAGTAAACGGCAAATACTTATGCCCTTATACAGTTATTGTGCCCGCTATCAAGTTAGGTCAGCAGCGATACTTTTAGCGTTAAGCCTGCAATCGAATGCAGTGGATGAGGAGTTCTCCATCTTTACAACATCCATCCACTTCTCAAAACTAAGAGAGTCATGTGCATCAGATTATTGAACTTTAAGGAAGCATTGAAAGTACGACGTTCACTGGGTGAAGGTTCATCCAGATCTTCTACAGTCCTAAATACATCAGTTCAAACTCCAGTTCAAACCTCAGTGCAAACAGAACAACCAGTACAAGCACAAGGACACTCGTAAGTACCCCTCCTCGGTACGCATTATGAACGACCTGGGGGCCCACTACATGTGGAAGTAGCCGTAAGAGAGACAGTGCAAGGAGGTTGTGTTAACTAGATGGCCACATGATCTGAATCTTTTCCTCGAGGGAAGGAAAAGGCGGATTTTCTACAGCTGGGCCACGTAATCAGCTGTTTTACTTTCGAGAAGAATTGGTCCGCTTAAGAGTGGTTTATAATGAATTGGTGAGCGCCTTTGACACAAAGATCGAATCTCTGGGAAAGATTACCTGTGAACCCAAGTAAGTGAAACTGATAACTTATGTTTAGTTTGACATTTCCACTCTGTATTTGTCCTCTTTCCCCTTTGAGTGATTGCAAACAAAAACATAGGCATGCTATGCATGCAAGAGTTAATTTTTTGGGGTGGGTGGATTACTTGAAACATTGTAAGTGATGTCTACATTTTTACAAAAGGAAAGAAGAGTATTAATGTGGAAAAGAACGCAAATGTTCAATTACCTCACACACAAGTATTTTGTGGTAGATTGTGTGTTGGTGGATTGAAATTTGAACACCTCTCAAACCAAAGAACAAAAATGATGCTCTGATTGGTGCGAGATACATACCCTAAATGATGTGATTGGCACAAGCAACATACCGCTCTCTGTATGCTAACATAGATTTTTTTTTTATTTTAAAAAAAAAACTCAAAAACCGTGAAATAAACAATGTAAATAAGATCTACTAGTGTCTATTGTCACAGCAAAATTTACTGAAATCAATACAACAGTTTTGCATGAAAAATAGTACAAAGTCACCTTGTATTTTAATAATTTATTAAAATTTACATTAGATATTAAGCAATAATAATAATATGTGTGTGAGGGGCAGGGTGTTTTCTCCCCACCCTTGGGACTTTGATGAGATACCTGACGATATTTTACTTTCAATTGATAGGTGCATTACAATTAATATGTGCCCCAAGAGGTGCTAAGTGCTAGTAATTGTCTTATTTGTACCCCACCTACTCAAATGTGTAAGTTTGGTGGTTCAAAAGAAGTCCACAATGAAATTATTTTTATTCCCATTTTTTTCATCATTTCTGCTCAGAGTTAAAATAATGACAGGCATAGATGTGCAATTGGTTGAGCTTTCCCTTTTACCAGATCAGGAATTAGATGGAGAGATGATAAGTGGGCTATTTTCACAGAAAACTGTGTGGTTGCTTCCTTGTGAAATTCTTAACTCTAAAATAGAGTTTAGAGTATCAAGTTATCAGATTGTAATATCAACTCAAATGATATCAGAATCTCATATCAAACTACTAAGTTATCAAATTATCATGATAGTATCAAAATATCAAAGCCTTAGACACTTTTTTCAATCCCTAACCCTTTATTACTCACAGGATCTGATTGTTAATTCTCCCCTCTACCTGCTACACATTTCCTTGTAAATTATTTATGAGAACTGGGTGTTAGATCAATATAACAGCTTCTACCTGATTAGCTTGAATATTCTCATTACTTGTTTGCTGGATAATGTGAGGATATTACAAGGAGAAGTTTCATGTTGATCACTTCTGGGAGTTAAAGGGTTAAAAGACATTTTGATAGAGTGCTTTTAGTCTCATTGTTGAATAGTTCTGTGAGTCTGTTAAATCTCAAAAATACCAGTTAATGACCAGAGCTAAAAGAAATCCTGCATGAATACTTTTGTTCTGTGCAAGACTTGCATGCATTTGACAGTGTATTCATTTCAATAACATCGCAGCAAAAAATCAACAACAAATTTAAAGGGCCAAAACATAAAATAATGTAAAAAGATTGCACATCTTGTTTACTTGGGATATATTGGCTATATTCTAGATCATTGAAGATATGAACCTAACTAGTGAAGAAAGAGAAAAACTGGAAGAAAAGCTAATGTCTCATGGGCTACCAGATATGATATCACTTACAGTAATGAATAAAGACGAGGCTATCAAGGACCTATAGGCAGTAGGGGTCATGGTAGAGGAGTTATAGCTACAGATTCCATCTTCAGGGGCCTTAATAACCTTGGTACTGGAACCATCCAGGGCGTGAAATTAACTTTTTTTTTGATAGCCACTTTTTTTCTGATAGCCAAATCTTTCTTTACGCTGTCAGTGTTCTAGACCCTCCAAAATTAAGTTAGGGAAAAGATCTTTAACGTGCTACAAAGTGGACACTTTAGGGAAAAGATCTTTAACGTGCTACAAAGCGGACACTTGGATGGATGATATACAAAGTTCAGGCTCATCTAAATCCAAGATGGCGTCTAGTTATCGATCGAGATGCATGTGCAACGTTTCGGAAATTTTTTTAATTCACTATATCTCTTGGTAAGGCTATGATGAAACGTTCTTAAGTCGCCAATTTGGCGACTAACTTTCAGGATTTGGTCGCCAAAGTGAAAAATTTAGTCGCATTGGCGCCTGTATTTGGTGCAATTTCACGCCCTGCCATCCTCAAATCCTACCCAAATATGATGGCAGCAATAATTTTTTTTTCAACAGAAGAAGTGAAAGTATGCCTCAATGAAGAAAAGATGAAGTTTAGTCATTATTGTGTAGTCAAGGTTGTGATAATGAAGAAAAAGGAAGAGCAAAAATGGTGGTTTTTGATTTTATCCAAGAATCAGCTGACTTGAAAGGTGAACCATTTGATGAGGAAAAATTAATTTTTATATGTGTAATTCAAAGAAATATCAATACCCCTAGAATGAGGGGAATTTGTGATTGTACCAGCCATACCCCCTGGAACTTCCAATTTTCTTCCATAAAAAATCTGTGATTGTCTTTCCCAATCCCTCTCCTCCCCAGAATTTCTAATTACCCTCCATGGTAGGGGTTTGGATATTTTCAGGAACTACACAAAGTAACAGTGATGTGGTACATTAAGTGTGCAGCATCTTACTTGTCTGATTTAATACTGCACGGTATTGCTTCGCTTGATTTCCTAAAAATGGGAACAATTTGATTGACTACTTAATCCTAATAAAATGGTGAATTTTATTTTTGTTGCCATTTTTCTTATATTGAACATAAGGGGCTGCAACACTGGCTTTAAACTAGTATTAAACTCCTCGTTTCATTTCTGGGCATCATTTATACAGTGCTGCTTGATTTAGGGGTGGGGCTGACTGCTCATATTCCACTTTTGTCTTCAGCATTGAGTCCCTAACAGCACAGACAATTTAAACCATCATGATCTTCAAAATACCAATTCAGCATATTTTTTCAAATTCAATACAAAATAATGATAAATATTGCCCTCAGTTTAGTTTATTTCATTGTCATTTTAGTTATAGATAACAATTCACCGTTGTCCAAAATATGCCCATTGTAACATGGGGGTCTCCCTTATGCCAAAGGACAAGGATGCTCTTCAGGAATTTAGAAAATGACCCCTAAAAGGTTACCTGAGTCTAATCGAGGTGGGAGGGGCAACAAGATTTTTACCCCTGAAAGGAACAAAATTAAAAACAAAAGATTAAATGAATATAAAATGTGTAGATTCCTTTATCGGTGATTGTGGAGAAAAAAAGTCCAATGGTTAAAACTGTAGCTGTAATACCCATCTCCAGTGTGTTTTTACTGAAAATGCTCTAAAAAATACCATTTAAGTTTGAGACACCCTAAGAGGTTCCAGATTTAGACCCCAAAAACCATCTTTTTCCTGTTTTGAGGGGAGTTGCCCCTCCCCATGGGCTGTGACAATTCCAAGAGGATTGCAGGAAAGTAGCTAATACTAAAAGTGTATTTTTTCTCTTTCATTTAGATGAGGGCACTGGAAAACCAATTGTGAGCACATTAGTGAAATTTGCAACTGGCAGCTTGTTCAGTGGTGGTTCTACTCAACAGCTTTTTCAGGCAGATGGTTGTTTTAACAAGATCTTTTTCCCTGTAGCTCATGATGCATATGAGGCACTTAAAAGAGCATTGATCACAAGCTTGCAATGTGGTTGAGTGGGATATGGGAAATTTCAATCCACTGTTTTCCACTGTTAAAGATCATCTTAAAAATGTTGCCTTCTTTTTTATTCAGATTAATGCATTTGGAAATTTTTAATCCCACTGTTTTCAAATTTTGTAGAAAAGTAAGAATTGTTGTTTTCAAATCAGATTACACAGCTTTAAGCAGCTATGTTACAGAAAAGGAGAAATCCAACTGTTTAATCTGCCAACCTTAATAGTCCATTTTACAGTTGTGTGCTTGGTTGCCAAGCCTTTGAACAGGAGTGAGGCTAAGGTTGACCTTGTTATGATACAAACCTCACTGCTTTTTAAATGCAAATCACTTTCAATTGTTATCATGCTAAATAGATACTGATCTCTATCACAACAAGGTCACCTTCAGCTGCACTCCAAATCAAAGGCTTGGCAACTAAGTACACATGAACGTCTTAAAGTCAAAGTCTTGAAAACACATTGACCTTTGTAGTAATTAAACAAAACAGTTAAACAATATGTTGTTTGAAAATGCTGTTCAATCTTGGGAGTAAAGTTTGTTGCAATTAATTTGTTACAAAGTTGAAAAAAGTACATTATAAGAGCCTGAATAATAAAAATATGTTTACACTTGAGTTTGAACAGTTGGTTAGTGTAGTTATGATGTAAAATGGAATACAATAACAGGTGAAGGTTTCAACAAGCGTGATGAAAGAGCGAAGGGATCGAACGTTGCAAAAATGATTAGTATTACCGCTAAACAAATCAATAGCAGGTGCAATAGCCGTATATATTTTTGTAAAGCAGTTAAGTATCACTGCTGATCCAATTTGATAGCAGGCAAAATAACTATATATATTTGTAAGCAATGACCCATACATAACTTTGCAATGCCCTCGATGAATGTGAATGAAATAGGGCGTAAATTTTTGCCATATACTCTAAATATATTTGTAATTGGATGAATATATATGTGATTATAGCCCCAAATATATGAAACAATGCCTACATAAATTCATCATAGCCATATATATTTCATTAACCGTAAATAATTATATAATACTGTCCTGTATGGCACCCCATAAAAGTCTCACCTTTAATGGTAACACTTCGTTTGTTTCAGACCGAGAACCTGTTATGAATAGTGGAGCAAACTCGGGAAGAAACAGTCCAAATATACTGTGGTCTTTCCTGCACTCAGTCACTGGTGAATCAGGCCAGGTATTATAACTTAATATGTACTCAACGCTTTAATTTTAGTTCCTTAAGGAAACCTTCCCGATAGGTTCTATCAACTATTTTGGTGTCCCAAATTCAAAATGATAATTAGTAGTATGATGTTTGCTTTTCCTTCTCTTTTTGTCCATCTTTTCATTGCTGACACAATTTTTAATTATATTTCTTTTCATCGTAATTGATAATTAGATTGTTCAACACTACTTTCTCAAATTCGAGACCGCCAAATTTTATATAATAATAATAATGATAATAGTAATAATAATCATAATATTAGTAATAATAATAATGATAATAATAATAACAATAATTATTTAGCAGTAGACAACCCACGAGGTGGCTTTTCTTGTCCACTATTCCAGGTTGAATTAGAATTTGGAACTCAACCCACATATGACTATAGAAAATTGATTACGTAAAGCTAGTCCTAAACAATGATTGTTTAGGACTAGCTTTACGTCGCTGTATAGATCGGTTTTGAGTTAACGAGATGAAAATCACTACTCTCTCACCTTAAACGCATGCTTAAGCAAGATCGAAACGGTTCTTATCAAAGGATTCGATCATTGCATCAATTTTTTTGTTTTAACGATCTGCTGCTGCTGTTGATATTATTTAGGACTAGCTTTACGTCGCTGTTTAGATCGGTTTTGATCAATTTTATTTAGTTTTATTCAAATGAAAATCACAACTCTCTTACCTTAGACGCATGCTTAAGCAAGATCGGAACGATTCGTATCAAAGGATTCGATCACGACGTCAAATTTTTTTGTTTTAACCATCTGCTGCTGTTGATATTGTTTTGGACTAGCTTTACGTCGCTGTTTAGATTGGTTTTGAATTGACGAAATGAAAATCACCACTCTCTCACCTTTGTTGAAGAAAAATTGGAAAGATTCTTAATCGAAGGATTCGATCATTGCGTCGCAAAGTTTTTCATGATTGGACAAGCCAGCAAAATCATAAACACTTTACATTAAACTTCACTGAAGGCAGTTGAGAAAAAAAGCAGGTTTGTCCATTAAAGTACGTTTATTTAAATGGGTTCCGGTTGATATGTTATGGCAAGCTTGTTTTACTTTTCCTAACGTCACGACTTTGGAAAAACCCCTCTTTCATTTTCTTGGTATTTTCGAAATTGTTGTAATAGCTATAAGTATCTTATTCAAGGAAACAGACCTTCGTGTTAAATATGCAAGGTAAGCGAAATTGACGCCAGTGGATAGGTAGACTTGAAGGGAAAATTATTCTTCATGAATTAAAATTTAGCAAAGTCGCACAAACCTCGATATCGAAATGTGGTAAATCAAAACTAGTCAAATCTTCTCAATATATTATCAGTCTTCGATCTCTTTAAGTCAGTCACTTTGCTTGTACGTCCGTATTTGATTGTCTTCAAGTTGGATTCATCTCTTGCACAAAAGCATTTTAGAAATAAATCAAAATCTGAGTGAGATATGTTCAGCTTCGAAGGAAATCAACGAGAAAAAAATTGTAATTTTAAAAATCTTCATTTTTTTCTTTAAAGACCTTTCTCGTGCCTTTATGAGAGAGAAATAAGAGAAAACTGGCTTTTAAAAGATGTTTTATCAAAACCCAACTTTTTCTTTGGAGTTTTAAGATTGGACCTGAAAAAAAATATGACGATGTTTTGACGGTAAAGTACGGGGATTACTTGCTTCTAAACCGTGGATGATTTTGGAGGGTAATAATGCAGACAAATACCTTAGACGCGGTTTGAGTTTTTCGAAATTAGCTGGTATTGAGCGAAGGAGAGTTTTGTTTTCTTTTCCTCATCATAATCAATTATCCTTTTGTTTAGCGCAAGTTCAAGGGTCGTGTGATCAATTACAAAGCTGAAGGTCGAATTCATAAACTCAAGTGGGTGTATGACGGTACCGCCTGGGATGTGGAGAGTGGAACAAGTGTGAAAGCCGAACACTACAACAGCGCTCAAGGCGCTAATGAACACGCCGTCAAGAAGCTGATTGATGACCTCAAAGCCAAAGGAATACTGAGTTGAACGCAAATGAAACGCGTTTTTACGCCCTTTTTAACAGTCTCTTTGGCAACCGATCTATAAGATCTCACGCAATTTGTGACATCTCAGAGTACGAATAAGAAAGACACAGCATTCGTTAATTTTTGTGTGGCTTACAATAATAATAATAATAATAATAATAGTAATACACAATAGACGTCAAATTGCCCCAAGCAATGACTGTAATTTTAAAGAGTTTACAGTAACAGCTGAATATTTAGCGTGATAAGCATTTGTGTATTATACTAGCATTTGGCTCTCTGTTTATTAAATCATCCGAACAGAGAGAACTATGTTCAGTGGTAAAATGCTGTCTCTGAATCTCCAGATAAATTAGACTCTTTCAAAACATCGCTTTTTAGACAGCTTCATTAGGGTTTATAGACTTATATTGTGCAATTATCAAAAATTATAAGAATTTTCGATTGCCAATGTATGCATTCGACATTCGACAGAATGGCAACTCAAAGGATAAGCATTTCGACGTGTCCCTAGCTCTCTAGTCAAGAAAGACTTAGTCCACAAATCATGTTTAAGGCAATTTTCCGTCCTTTAAGAGATATTTTACAAGAAAAAAGTAATAGGGAAACAAACCTTTAATCTTTTACGGTGAAGAAGGAATAGAACGTAGCCAACCACGGCGGGAAAATCAAGTTTAGTTCGGTCGACATATATTCTGGGCCTCACGTGACAGCGAACAGTTTAATTTATTTATGTCGCATTCCAATTGTCATGCCCAGGACCTACGCACTTCAACGACGTTCATTGAGGGAGAAAAGAACAATAAGCGTACCTAAAGTAAGTTTTCATCACTCGCCCGTGTTTCCCAGAGGTAACTTGGGAGGAAACACCAGCCTTATCTCGGCCCTCTCTGTCTCTCTTGTCTAAGTCTAACAATCGGTGCTTGTTAAAAAATGTGAAATTCGCGTCGTTTCAAAATGTTGAATCTTAAAAGCACCACTGGAATACTGGAGCTTTTAGGCCTATAAAAATAGATTTTCTCTTTGATACTTTGAAATTATTCAGTTCCTGTGGTAGAATTCTAACTAACAGAACGCAAGAGATTACAAACTCTTGCAGAACGTTAAAGTGCCCCTTACCCCATTTTTTTATTCCTTTCAATTTCAAAACGATTACGCAGTTGGATGAAAATAACCATCTACGATTCTACGGCTGTGTAAAAAAGGAGATCTGGGATCTAGTGTCCTCTGACGTCAGTGGGGGAAGCTCTGGGAAAGAAGGTGGTTGAAAGTGTTGTAAATTAAAATAGGTGCAGAAAATATTCGGGGAAAAAGAAAGTGGAACCGTAGTTTTCGCTTTTTTAGCAAGATTACCCTTAGTTTATGATTTTGCTGTAAAACTTTTTAATCTAAAACATTGGAAAACTGAGAAGAGTGACTTTGATTGCTAATCGCAAAGCATGTGATGCTGTCATTCAGTGAAACTGCGTATGAAAATTTTGAAATAAATAACTCCACCTCACAGAAAAAAACAACAAATAAGTTTATTTGGGAGGACCTAGAAAGAACAGAAAGACACAAACTTTCCGTCATCTGCACTATCTTTTTTCCAGACTGCCATTTAGGCTGAGAGGTCTGCTACTTTTTTCGCATAATCTACCATATACCAACGTGTGCGAATCGATCATAACACTCAGGTCAGAAAACTTACGAATGAAACAAACTTTGCATGGAACTGCCAGTAAGGCTAGGAAGTCTCCAATACACGCAAGTTTACAAATCAATCCTGCCAGTTAGGCTGGTCAACTTACCAATCGAACAAGCCTTGCGTGACACTGCCAGTTAGGCCAAGTAAATGATGGTTCAGCTGGGGACATTGTGTGTGGTATAAAAGCGAAAGTAAAACACTATAGGCTAATTAAAACGGAGAAGCCTTTAAAGATGGAGCGTTTTTAGGATTAACTGATCTTAGAGTTGTTCCATTGTGTTTCATTTTGCAGTGGAGCAAACAGGTTATCGTTAAATATGAACGTTGTCCCCGACAAGATCAGCTACGAGCAGATCGCCATTATAACAGCGAGACACGATCAAAGGAACTTTGATCGTGTTCTCGCCAAATGAAGTGAGAAATGTTCCATCCAAGGTGAACATTTTCAGGACGCCGTCGCGGAGATTTTCATCAATGCTACTAGCGTCACACACGATCAGGTTACCAAAGGAATCTACACAAAGTCCCTCGGGATATCTCAACTGTCCTTCACCAAAACCTTTGCGGCCAATATTGCTTATGAACACTCCTTCCTTATCAAAAACCTTCACACAATGTGCTCTCATATAGGAAACATAAAACATGTGTGTTGTGTTTTGTTTTAACGGCTTAAAATCTTCTAGTATGTACACCGACGCAGATAGAGGCATAAAATCGTACAGTCTGTGGACTGTGTTAGTCACATATTACGTGACTGTAAACTCTGAAATGAGCCCACTTCTGTCTCTCCACTCCCCAATAAGTCGCCATGTGAGACTCAACAAATAAAATTTTTATTTTGCCCTTTGCTTCTATATCCATATTAGTTTCCGTTTTAATTACTTTAGGAGGAAATAAATACACCATAAGCAATATTTACGAAAGGTGCGCGACAAACCATAAAAATACGAGGACTCGCATTTTAACTATGAATGAGTTTTCGACCATTGTAAGTCTCTGATGCCCCCGTCCCCTGAGAGAGGGAGACAAGTTTTGTTCTAAATGCCACGAAGTTGTGAAAAACAACATATTATTTTTTTTTCTCAAAGGGGATGGTAACAAATTCTGCAATCTGCTTGGTTCTTAGCGCGGCTGGTGAATAACATTTATTAGTTTTCTTTTTAAGACAACTTATGATGTTTAAAAAAAGTTCATTTTACTCCTAAACATTAACGGATAACGACACAAGCGGTTTTTTTAGAGGGAAAAAGGAAGGCTTGTCGGAGCGTTCACGCTACCAACTGAAGAATTGTTCCATTTGTGTTTCACTTTGCAATGAAGGAAACAGGTTATTTTAAAATATGAACACTGTCCTCGAGAAGATCGGCAACGAGTAGATCGCCATTATTACAGGCACACATGCTCCAAGGAACTTTGATCTTATCCTCGCCAAATGAGGTGAGAAATGTTCCGTCCAAGGTGAACATTTTCAGGACGCCATCGTGCAGATTTTCATGACTGCCACTGACGTCGCACACGAAATTCAAAAAGAGAATTTTTTTCCCTCAACAGTTCTTACTAAAGAGATTACATGTCACTCTGATCATTTCTTTTCATTCATCATTTGGCATTTCCAATAGATTCTGGAGATCTGATAACACTTTCAGTTGTTCTGTTGTTTTGATTGGTTCAACCAATCTCAGTTATCAGCTCTTATACTGTTTTATTATAGGCATGGGTAAGATTAAAATATTACACTGCGTGTCACAAAGCTCCTTTTTTTTCAGTGAAGTTATTATATATTGGAATCAAAATTTTCACACTATAAGTCCAGCTATGGTCTGAGTTACTGGATCAAAGTGACTCAGATCATTACCTTATTTCCTGCACTTTCTTGTAAACCTCTTCAGCATTCATAATGGTTACATCTAACCGCCTGTTGAATCCAATTTTACAAAACTCTTCTTGCAATCTATGCTTCACTTTCTCTGCTTCAAGGTCATCCACGAACTGTAACAAACTACGATCTGTGTGACAGCAAAGCTCCACCAAAATTGAACCATCCCCGATGTTCCTGACTTCAGGATCAGCTCCGTTTTCATTTCTTTCTTCTAAGGCATTCCTTATCGCATTTTCAACAGACTGTCTTTTAGACAAATAAAATGCACCCAACGTCAGGGCTCCAGCCAACGCAAATCCTGCCAGAATGGGGCTGTCTATTTTCACCGAGATAGAAAAGCCTGATGTACTTGCTGACGCTGTCAATTCAAAAGCCGCCCTGACTCCATTTGCAGCTAAATCTGCGCCTTCACCAGCCATTACCTTTATCCCAGCCTTATCCCTGTAGCAAGGAGAAGAAGACAACGGCCGTAAATTTTACCTTTTAAACTGAAGATTAACAACCCTTTTGGTTTATAAATCTGCTGTTTCCTTAAAGGGATAAAGAGAGCTTTCGACCACTGAGGCTAGAGTAGCTGGCGAGTGAAGTTATTTATTGCCTTGGCCTCTATACTACTGTCACGTATAGTTCATAGTAGTGCAAAGTGACAACGCGCAAGCAATAAAATCTAATATACTTTTTTGAAGAACAGTTTGACTTTTACGGTGTTTTTAACGCCAATTAACCATATATCACTGTGAATATATATAACGGCGTAATATGTGACTAACACAGTTTATATACTGTAAGATTTTACGCCACTATCTCAGTCGGTAGATTGAATGATAATAAATTAATGTATTATTAAATTTTATTACTGGCGTAAAATTGACATTATATATATATCACCGACTGGAAGAAATTACGCTGCTAGTTACTGGCGTAAAATCTTACATTTATACATCACCGACTGGAAGAAACTACGCCGTTAGCTACTTGTGTAAAATCTTACATATAAACCCCCACGCTGTGAAAACAGCAGTTTGCAAAGAGAACGTGACAACGTCCTACAAATCATCACCTGGCAAGCAGAAGGCCAAACGAAAGCGTACAAGTCCGGCAAGGCAAGTGTCGTGACGAAGGTCCGCCGGATAATCGCAGACATATATTAAGCAATAAAAGAAAACCGAATGAAGAGCCTTGATCAACCGTTTAATTGAAGTGGAATATGACGAGAAGGACAAATCAGGCGAAGTTACAGAGTACCGGGATGGTGTTATAGACAAATCATCGCCTACAGAAAACATGAAAGACACTTGGTTAATTTTGCCGATCGAATTGACAGCAAGGGTAGTCAGACAGGATTGAGGATTTAGACAGTAAGATGTCCGTCTGTTGGCTGAGTAAAACTGACGAACTACGCCGTTAAAACATCTGAGGAACAGTTTCTCTACCTAAGTACAACACTTGAAGTCACACCTTTGGAATTAGATAACATAATGGCTGAAATTTCTATACAGACGTTACGCTCTCCTGGGAAATAGTAAGAGGCACGTAGCCTGGCAGAAGTCATCGAGGAAAGTGACGTGAACCCACCTCCGAAGACTACACTTAACTAGTAGGTTTTAATAATGCAATTTACAACGCTTGCTATAAAGTATGTAACTAACCTTATTGAATACTCCAATTCATACTTAAGAAGGTTCGGGTGTCTAGCAAGTCAGTGCTTCAAGGTAAGTAAGACCTTTACAGGTATATCTCGGCAACAATGAGTCCACTTGGTTTGTGGATGATACCCCCAACATAACTGGTTGTACTGAACTTATCAAATGTCCAAAAATCTAAAGAATGGGAACCCATAACTAGGTCATGGGTTTCTGGATGTGCTCGCACGAAGTATAGTACAACTGATTGTGATTGGATAAGAACGCTTTTGTCGGGGGTACCGAGGAACCAACCTGTTTGTTATGAAATAAACTATCTTAATAAATGACTCCGTCTTCAACACTTTTGTCGTAAATGTACTTATGAAGTTTTATGCCATAGTAAAGGCGTAAATCGTTATCCCTTTTCAGCTTTTGTGCGGCCAATTTACCAGATCAAATCTCTTTGGTCTCCCGAAAGTATTTGTTCTACATTAGTGGAGGGGTACAGGGGGGCGAGCGCCCGGGAGAACAAGGGGCTGGAGACGGCAGGAAGCGGGAGCAGAAATGGAAAACGCAACCTTTGAAAAGCTGAACCTAGCAAAGTTTTTTTACTTCCATTTAATGGCCACCCAGAAGGAAAATTTCTTATTTATTTCTTTATTACGTCAAAGGTCATAGATGGGATGTCATGAAAAATCTACGAATTTGTCGGTGTCATGCAAGCTGTATCAGTAGAAAATTGTCCAAAGCGAGTCAGGTCAAACATCGTCTAATGTCTTCGTTGATCAGCCTCATTATTTTAGGCGTCGCAACGGAAAATCAGTCTGTATAAGACCTTGTTTCTGTAATTGACAATCACATAGGTAAATTATAGTGGTGTAGAAATCTATCAATGAATGTACGTACAACGATTCAACCTTTCTGCAGAGGTTTAAAGAATATTTCAACTTCTCGAAGAAATCTGAATAATTATATAATGTGTATATTTACGCAAATATACACATTAACATGTTAACAGCGTAATTTCTTCCAGTTGGTGGTGTTTCTACGTAAGATTTTACGCCAGTAACTAACGGCGTACTTTCTTCCAGTCGGTAATGTTTATATGTAGGATTTTACGCCAGTAACTAGCGGCGTAATTTCTTCCACTCAGTAATGTTTATATGTAGGATTTTACGCCAGTAGCTAACGGCGTAGTTTCTTCCAGTCGGTAATATTTATATGTAAGATTTTACGCCAGTAACTAGCGACGTAATTTCTTCCAGTCGATGATGTATCTATGTAAGATTTTACGCCAGTAGCTAACGGCGTACTTTCTTCCAGTCGGTAATGTTTATATGTAGGATTTTACGCCAGTAACTAGCGGCGTAATTTCTTCCAGTCGGTAATGTTTCTATGTAAGATTTTACGCCAGTAACTAGCGGCGTAATTTCTTCCAGTCGATGATGTAATGAAATTTTGTAGAAAGACACCAAGCGCTTGGCTCATTTATCCCCACGACGATAACGCGCGTGACTAAAATTAAGCGTGTTATCGTCGTGGGGATGAATGAGCCACGCGCTCGAGTATTGCACAAAATTTGTGCAACATGCCCTGACATCCGTTCCGTGTTTTAGGATTTGGGTCATTTTCCGCCGTCCCGTGTTTTAGGATTTGGGGTCATTTTCCGCCACACCGCCATTCCGCCATTCCAGCTTTTAGGGTCGCCCGTTGTGTCTATATGTACGATTTTAAGCCAGTATCTAACGGCGTAATTTCTTCCAGTCAGTTGTCTTATATGTACGATTTTACGCCAGTAACTAACGGCGTAATTTCTTCCAGTCGGTATAATATATACTGTAAGATTTTACGCCAGTAACTAACGGCGTAATTTCTTCCAGTCGGTAGTCTCTATATGTACGATTTTACGCCAGTAACTAACGGCGTAATTTCTTCCAGTCAGTGGCCTTATATAGAAGATTTTACGCCAGTAACTAACGGCGTAATTTCTTCCAGTCGGTTGTGTTTATATGGAAGATTTTACGCCAGTAACTTACGGCGAAATTTCTTTTAGTCGGTATAATATATACTGTAAGATTTTACGCCAGTAACTAACGGCGTAATTTCTTCCAGTCGGTGATATATTTAATGTAAATTTTTCGCCAGTAATATAATTTCATTTTCTATTAATTTATTATAATTAATCTACCAACTGGGTTAGTGGCGTAAAATCTTACAGTATATAGACTGTGTTAGTCTCATATTACGCCGTTATATATATTCCCAAATCCGACGCTGACATAGGCGTAAAATCGTACAGTCTGTAGACTGTGTTAGTCACATATTACGCCTTTATCGAATTACCGCTCTGGGTGACAATTTTAAGAGTGACCATTTGGGTCGCTAGCTTTCCATTCGAGGAAAACTTTGCCCGCAATTTATGTTAAAAGAGAATGAAAGATATCAAACGATAGGAAACAAACCTTTGGTCTCACACGGAGGAGAAGAAATAGAATGTAGCCAAACACTGCTCGCTACCGAGAATTTTACAATGAATGCGTGACAAAAGAATCATTTCTTTGTCACGTGTTATTTCTCATGCCCAGGGCCTACGCACTTCAAGGAAGTTTCAATCTTGACCGATAGGAGACAGTCTGTAAGGATCGAAATTTTTTTTTCGTCAGATTGGAAATTCCCCAAAGGTGGCATTCCTCAAGGAACAAAACTTGGTGTTATCCTGTTGACGGCCTGATGACTAACAACCTACTGAAGGATTGAAATTGAAATTGAAGCTTAAATTTGTTGATGACACCACAGCTCTCGAAATCTTGGCTTGGAGTGGTTGCAGTCTACTCAATCCAGTTTCTAATGACATTTACATTTTTCAAATGACCACAATGTGGGTTTAAACATAAAAAATCCAAAGAAATGTGAGTTACAACGTTGTAGAGTTACCCATAATTCATAGTTATAACGTTGTGGATCGTGCCCTCTTCCTTAAACTCCTCGGAGTGTATATCAGTAGTGATCTAAGGTGGAATTATCACATCGATTACATTTTTACGAAGGCCTCAAAGTGCCTATTCTTATTGCCAGTATCAACCCTTTGACCTCTAAGAATGATTTGCATCTAATTTCTCGTTACCATATCCCCCTGAATCAAACATTAAGGTCAGGAAAATAAAGGAGCTGATCACCAACTAAAGAAGCTCTTGATTGTGACACAAATTTTCCGTCTCAGCATTTTAGGAAATGTTTAGAGAATAAAAAGGAGATTATGTATATTGATGTTTGGATGAAAAGGGTAAAGGAAGGCAGGTGTACCTTGTAAACTAATCATTAAAGTCTACCAAACACGAATGAACATAGCTGTATGACTTACCTTAAGGCTTATAAAATAGAAAATTATTTCTATTAACTCGAAGTTCAATTTAAGTCACAGCGTTCAAAGTGGCAAATATTGACGAGAAATTATCCTACATGGAATAAAATCACTATACAATTGTTTCTTCATTCTTTATTAGCCGGTGAGCTATTTTGTCCTTGAAAAATTATCTCTATCGTTTTAGAAATTATCGTTTTTATTAATCGTATTAAAGCTGTTATCATATCAGCTTTGAACATATTATTTACTGGAAAGAATAGAAACTGAAAGTCCACTTTCCACTGTTTCCGGGAAATTTCCCTAAATCTGAAACAATGGACAATTGAGAAGCGTGACGTAACTTTGAATGCTAATCAAGCACAAAGCAAACCATGTTGTCAGCAAGCGAAACTGGTAGTGAAAGTACCTCACCATACCTCAAAAAAATGCCGCCAGAATTGGAAAAAGAAATTCCAGAGGAGAGCGATATTACGAATAACTTTAAGGCGTTGAAGGATGTCCAGCTTCCGATAGATATCCTGCTCCTGACTGTGAAAGACATCGAGTTTCGAAGCTGTTACTTCAATCTAGGAAATGTCTTTCGAAGCTACGAGAGAGGCCTCGGTCATGTGTATTTCGGAGAGATGGGTGAAGTCGGAGATACGAAACTGAGAGTCGCTTTAATTAAATGTTCAGAGGGAGCAGCAAACCCGGGAGGAGCACTAATCACAGTAAAGAATACTGTGGTGAAATTACGACCCAAAGCTGTGTTTTGTGTCGGTTGTTGTGGAGCATTGCATCGGGACAAGACCAAGCTAGGAGATGTTATCGTTTCCGCAAAGCTGACTACTTACGCAGACAAAAAAGTGACGAATCAGGGAGTTTATCCGCACGGCTTCTCTGTGCCAGTTAGTAGCGACATCTCTGGCTTGATAAATTACGCTGGTCATGGCTGGAGTGCCCCTTTAAAGAATCAAGAAGAAAGAGGATCAGTGAAAGTTCATAGCGATGGAGAGTTTTTGAGCGGTCCAGAAGAGATTGACTCCGAAAAGAGAAGGCGCGAACTCGTAGAGCTCTACCCCAACGCAATCGCAGTCGAAATGGATGGCCAAGGTGAGATTGATAGGTTCTTTTTCGTCAGCAGAGCGCTAAGAAGTAAGCGTTAATACAGAGTTTGATCATCCAGGGTTGCTTAGTTTGACGAAACAGTTCAACGTTAAAGCTCCGTTTGTCTGCTGAGAGCTCATTTTCGCGTGTTTAAGATAGTGCTCGCTGACCACGATAGTCTCAGTGATCCACAGCTGCAAGTCAATCGATCATCGATCACGCTATCATGTTTACTTTCACTTTCCTCGCTTCATCGACCATTTTAGCGAATTCCTCTCGTATTGCGGCCTCAGTCACTTGGTTATCACTAAGAAGGAATAATTTTGTTCAGTTTGATATCTAAGTCTGTTCGGAATCAATTCCAGTGTGTATACTCTGGGCTTTACCCGAAAGCGTTCAATAATGATAATGTTGTTTTCCATCGTCACGACTCTTCTTAAAATAACAGTGTGTTACGATTCAGTAAGTTCTAAGTGACCGAAAACGTAATAGAATCAGGATAATTATACTTAATTACGTTCAAAAGAGGAACGAAGAGGTTAGACTTTACAAACACGATACGGAAGCCTGATAAATCTAGTACTAATTTTTCTAGTGTCGCAAGGATTACTCGCACATGTAGCATAATGAAAATCACAATCTGTCAAAGTGCTGTCCTCTTAAAACTACGGCCCGTGACATCTTAAGCCTAAGCCGAGTCAAGTTACAATTCAATAAATTCAGTGAAGCTGAGAGAATTATTTTTTCCCATCTGCTAATTACACAACGGTTATCATAAACTTCAATGTGTCCTTCCACAGGTGTGTTCAGTGCAGCTCATGACCTGAAGATGGAGTGGGTGGTAATCAAAGGCGTTTCTAGTTATGTAGACGGCACGGCCTCTCTGACTGAGGACTGGAAGCCTTTTGCCAGTGTCATGGCAGCTTCTGTTGTCAAAAACATCCTTCGTGTGCCAGATGTGTTTGAAGGATGGGCGCATTACCCGAGCAGCGATATGGGGAGAGCACCGAATGAAGGTTAGGGAATATAACTGTTAACTCTAAGGTTTAAGCCCTCTTTACTTCTTCACAAAACCAACGTTGAGCTTAACCGTTTTGCTGAACTGAGATGGTTCCACCCCGGTTTTTTCCGCAACGACTAAATTTTGTCGCGACAACCAGCCCTTTTATTTGGATTGAAAAATACCAATTTGACAAACATTTAATGTTTCTAGTTATTGAAATGTCCGTTGTTTCTCGCAAAAGTATATGGGGTGCCGGTATAGGACAATATTATATAGCAACAAATATTTGCGGTAAATGAAATATATATGGCTATGATGGATATTTAATATATGTATGGCATTGTTTCATATATTTGGGGCTAATTACATATATATTCATCCTATTACAAATATATTTAGAGTATACGGTAAATAACTATGCCCTTTTTCATTCACATGTAAACGATTACTGTGCCCGCTATCAAATTAGGTCAGCGGTGATACTATTAGCGGCAAAACCGCGATCGAGTGCATTCACCTTTGTCACGGCCCGCCATCTTGGATTACGTCATTGAATATTGTACATGAGGTCGAGGCCACGCGTGGTAAGTTCACAAACAAAATGGCGACTAGTAGCGATAGCGTTGAACTCGAATTTTGGCACAAAAATATAACAAAAATACCCAAAGTTACAAACTCTTTTGTTGAGGATTTTGCTGAGAAGAACCTACCGATCATAGGAATGGTTCCCAAAACAAAATAGAGAAAGTTAACCCAAGAAATAAAAACTCTACTCACAGTTGAAATAGAAATATCAAATTCACTGGCTAGTTTCTCATTAAAAGTACCCAGCCTCAGCTTAGTAATGCATAAATAAAACTGATCAAATAAGCTAAGTTTGCATGTCTTGAGAGTGTCTCTCATGTTACTTATATCTTTCCCACTTTTTGCTCGTGCTCTCTGTACTTGGGACCATGAAAACATACTTTCAGCTGTGGGTCTAAGGGCATTGAAGGTACTCACAAAAATAGCAAATGACGAAAAGCCAGTATGGAATCTAACGCGTTTGTCTGACATCCCTTTCAGTTGTCTGTAAAAAGATTGTTTTGAAAGCAGCTGTTCTAATTGTTCGATACGAGCTTGCGCTGCCTCAAGTAGCTCTTCTACAGGCTTTTCGGGTTCAGTAAATAAATAATCATGTAGGTTGACAGTAGGTGTTATGATTGTGGTGTCAGTAGTTACGGTGGAGTCCTCCATGTGGCTGCTAGTATCGATGACATTTTCGTCTACGCTTGAATCTTCGATGGGCCCAATTTCGACTGTGGGAATGTAGAAAATAACATGTTTAGAAATATTTAGGGCGGGCCTAAAGTACGATTTCATAAAAAATAAATACCTGTAGAGGAGATTGGCTGTATATTATCCACGACATCAATCTCGGTTGTGTTAGTACGTGTTGTGCATTCGCGTTTCGTTGGTGACTTTCGTTTCTTTGATAAAGTTGTCCATTCAAAAACGGATGGTACAGCACCATTAACGAGTACACTTTTTCCTGTTAGCGTTTTTTTTTTTATATCTGTGGGTTTAAAATGATCAGAGCAAACTCTTGTACTGTTGGTTATCTGAAAGATATCGGAAAAAATATAAGGTTTGCTATATAAACAACGCTGAAACGACGCTAAACTGAACTATGATATATAAAAGGCCATTTACCTTGAAGGACCGGCCGACATCACGCTTAATTTTTATAATCCACTGTCTTCTTAAGTCTTTGTCTTTCGGGAATTGATGAAAGGTTATATTAGACTGCACTTTTGATCTATTGTTATTGCACTTAGGAACACAACAGTGATCTTTGTTCCGCATGATCGCTCGAGTGTTCAGTGTGTCAAGAACCACGCGTGACCTCGTTTTCATGCCAAAAAGCATTACGTCATTTTCAAGATGGCGATACCGTGACAAAGGCGAATGTTGTGAAGATGGAGAACTCCTCATTCCCTCCATCCACTTCTCAAAGCTGAGATAGTATTGTGCATCAGATTATTGAACATCCTGATTTTAAGGAAGCATTGAAAGTACAGCGTTCACTGGGTGAAGGTTCATCCAGATCTTCTACAGTCCAAATTACATCAGTTCAACCTCAGTGCAAACAGGACAACCAGTACAAGCACAGGGACACTCATAAGTACAGGAGCTAAATATTTCACCGAAAGAACGACCTGGGGGCCCACTACATGTGGAAGTAGCCGCAAGAGTGACAGTGCTAGGAAGTTGTGTTATCTAGATGGCCACATGATCTGAATCTTTTCCCCGAGGGAAGGCAAAGGGGGATTTGCAACGGCAGGGCAACGCAATCAGCTGTTTTACTTTCGAGAAGAATTGGTCCGCTTAAGAGTGGTTTATAATGAGTTGGTGAGCGCCTTTGACTCAAAGATCGAATCTCTGGGAAAGATTACCTGTGAACCTAAGTAAGTGAAACTGATAACTTATATTTAGTTTGACATTCCTACTTTGTATTTGTCTTCTCTCTCCTTTGAGTGATATTGCAAAAGAAAAACCGTGAAATAAACAATGTAAATAAGATCTACTAGACAAGTGTCTATTGTTATTGCAAAATTTATTGAAATCAATACAAAAGTTTTGCATGAAAAATAGTACAAAGTCACCTTGTATTTTTATCATTTTATTCAAATTCACATAAGATCTTGTGCAATAATAATATGTGTGAGGGGCAGGGTGTTTTCTCCCCACCCTTGGGACTTTGATCCGATGCCTGACGATATTTTACTTTTGATAGGTGCATAACATTTAATATGTGCCCCTAGAGGTGCTAAGTGCCAGTAATTGTCTGATTTGTACCCCACCTACTCAAATGTGTAAGTTTGTTGGTTCAAAAGAAGTCCATGATGAAATTATTTTAATTCCCATTTTTTTCATCATTTCTGCCCAGAGTTAAAATAATGATGGGCATAGATGCATAATTTATTGAGCTGTCCCTCACACCAGATCAGGAATTAGATGGAGAGATGATAAGTGGGCTATTTTCACAGAGAACTGTGTGGTTGTTTCCTTGTGAAAGTCTTAACTCTAAAGCAGAGTTTGATGTAAACTGATAAACTGTATTTTCAACAGGCATAGACACTCCAGAATCATCAGTACCTTCAGGTGGTAAAAGGAAAAGTATTAATGATCTGAACAAATCTTCCCTTCACATGAGGTTGATTACCTGAAAGCAGTACTGGATACAAACAACACTATAGATGAAGCTGTAGCAAGTGTTTTGGATGATAAGATCCTAATGCCATACCAGTTTTTGAAGGTAAGGTGATGGATGAATTGTTTCAACTGATGATATAAATGGTTATCTCCTTAGAGTAAATACCAATTTAAAAAAAGGATGTTGGTCTGAAGGCCTCAAGTCTGTGCGATTCATGATCACACAAGAAGTAGTAATTGGGTAGAAATTACTAAAATTACAAGAACATTAACATGGCTATTCTCAAAAAGCTTGCTTCAAGTGAATTAACTCCAATTGAAAGAACTTTATTTCTTAACTAGGGTGTAGAATTGCAGAATATCAAATTATCAGATGGTAATATTGACTTAAATGTTATCAGAATCTCATATCAAACCACTAAGTTATCAAATTGTCATGATAATCAAAACATCAAAGCCTCAGACACTTTTTTTGATCCTGAACCTTTTAACTCCTGGGATCTGATTGTTAATTCTACCCCCTCTTTCTGCTACACATTTCCTTGTAAATTGTGTTGGGTCAAGATAACAATTTCTACCTGATTAGTTTGAATATTCTCATTACCTTTTTGCTGGATAATGTAAGGATATTATGAGGCGAAGTTTCATGTTAATCACTTCTGGGAGTTATCCCTTTACACCCTAACATCAATATTTATATTCTCCACACTGTTCTCTGTACATTTACTAAATAAATGTGCTGACAAGGAGAATGTGTCTAACAATCAAGAGTTTCTTTACTGAGTTAGTGATCATTTCCTTTATTCTCATGACATTAATGTGTGATTCAGAAGTGGTATTATGAGGAGAAATTAGATGCTAGTCACTCTAAGGGGTTATAGGGTTGAAGGGTTAAAAGACATTTTGATAGAGTGCTCACTGTTGAATAATTAGATAAATTTAGTAAATTTTAGTCGGCTATTTAGGTGATGTCAACTAAAATAGTAAAAGCCCACCAAACCAAAGGTCAAGCAAAATAGGGGGCTCCTCTAATCAATGAACAAACATATTTACATGAGAAAGAAGGAAGAAACAGGGCATTTTGCCTTATTGTTTCTCCCTGGAAGAAACAAACTGTTTTCATGTGATTTCAAATTTATGTGAAGTTAACTTAGTTGACATTATCTATTCAACACTGAGACTAAAAGCATTCTATTATCAAATAGGTATCTGATAATTTGATAATACCATAATATATGAAAACGTCAAAGCCCAAGACACTTGAAATATCATGATCTCAGACCCTCTAAGAAACAAATAGTAGGAAAAGGGTTTGATTATATATGTATGATATTTTGATATTCTGCAATACCACACCTCTCTAACTCCATTTCGTGATGTTTAAAGTCAAGACCAAAGCCATTAAGCCTGTAGCCTACAGCTTACTCCATTCTTGTGATGGGTTTGTTGGCATGTCCTCACTAGTGCATGGTGGAGTATATCTCCACTGGATCAGTTTGTAAAGCTAAAGAAAAGGTTTCTGTTCAAGATTTGTATGATGTTGAACTGAGAACAAAGTAAGTTTTTAATTGATAGTAATTAGTGAATTATATAGAGTGAATGTCATGTATTTGTGAGATAATTTCTAATTATTTAGTGTATGAGATTTAGTTATTAACTATTACAGTAACTATAATAGAGAATCATATGAACTGAAGTGCAAGTATGGCTTGATACTGTTGTCCATCCCTCCTGCTGTGGGGAAAAATGGGAAGGGAACATTGAAATGGCGTATCTAATTGTGTTCATGTAGTAAATTGCACATATAATTAGTTGTTAATTGCACAAAGCAATACAGCTTTTTGGGAAATATTTATAATGATTGATGGAAAGTTTAGTATAAGGAGAAGTTTCATGTTGATCACTTCCGAGAGTTGAAAGGTTAAAAGACATTTTGATAAAGTGCTCTTAGTCTCATTGTTGAATAGTTAGTTGAGTCTGTTAAATCTTAAAAATACCAGTTAATGATCAGAGAAAAAAGAAATTCCACATGAACATTTTTGTTCTATGCAAGACTGGCATGCATTCCACAGTGCGTTCATTTTAATAACTTCCCCAGCAAAAAATCAACAGCAAAGGGGAAACCTAAATGTAAAAAGATTGCACATCTTGTTTACTTGGGATATTTTTGTGGTATTCTAGATCATTGTCAAAGAAAATATGTACCTAACTAGTGAAGGAAGAGACAAACTGGACGAAAAGCTAGTGCCTCATGGGCTAACAAAGACAATTTGATTGACTGCATAATTAATCCCAATAAAATGGTGAGTTTTATTTTGTTTCCATTTTTCTTATATTGAACACAGGGGGCTGTACCCCTGGCTTTTAACTAAAACCAAGCTTGTCTTTTCCTTTCTGGGCATCATTTAAACAGTGCTGCTTGATTTAAGGGTAGGGCTGACTGCTTATGATTCCACTTTGGTCTTCAGCATTGAGTCATTAACAGCAAAGACTATTCAAACCATCTTCAAAATACCAATTCAGCATTTTTTTCAAATTCAGCACAAAATTATCATGATAAATATTGCCCTCACTTAACAGCCCCTTCCCCTGGGCTGTAACAGTTCCAAGAGGATTGCAGGAAAGTAGCTAATACTAAAAGTGTATTTTTTATTCTTTCATTTAGATGAGTGCACTAGAAAACCTATTGTCAGCACACTGGTGGAATTTGTAACTGGCAGCTCATACCTAAAAAATGACACCAGACTATGGCTGTTATTGAGTGGCGATTCTACTCTAGCACTTTTTCAGGCAGATAGTTGTTTTAACAAGATCATTATCCCTGTAGCTCATGAATCATATGCTTGAGGCATTTAGAAAAGCACTGATTACAAGCTTGCAATGTGTTGGAGTAGGATATGGGAAATTTTACCTCATTTTTTCCAGTGTTAAGGCTTATCTTTAAAAGTGTTGTGTTCTTTTTTTATTCAGATTAATGCATTTGGAAATTAATTCTACTGTTTTCAAATTTTACAGAAAAGTAAGAATTGTGGTTTTCAAATCAGATTACACAGCTTTAAGCAGTTATGTTACAGAAATGGAGAAATCCAACTGTTATCTGTCAACCTTAATAACACATGAATATCATCTAGTCAAAGTCTTGAAAACACATTGACCTTTTTAGAAATTAAACAAAACAGTTGAACAATATATTGTTTGAGAATACTGTTCAATTTCTGGGAGTAAATTCTGTGGTACAATTAATTTGTTACAAAGTTGAAAAAAGCAGATTATTAAATCCTGAATAATAAATCCATGTTTACACTTGAGTTTGAACAGTTAGTTGGGTGTAGTTATGTTGTAACCAACTGTAGTTACCTTGCAAGGCACT